TATATATATATATATATATATATATATATATACTTATACCATATACTCAAAGCACAAATTGAATAAGAAATATTGTTCACATGAACACTATCTCTTTTGTTCGAAAAAATACTAACGCTCTGCAAGCAAAACACAACTCTTCAAAATCGTATCCTTCCTTGGTGACATTGTGAAGTATGTATAAATTAAAAGAAAAAAGTAAATAGAATAGTAAAACTTACATAAAGTTGTCAGTGTGTCGTCGTGAATTGATATCGTGTAATTCCTGAAGATATTTGCGACGACGTTCTTCTTCATAAACGCGTCGCATATTTTCCGCGCTTCGACGAGCGAGCTCTTCTTCGCTCAATGGTTCTTTTGCCTCTGTACGCACTGGTGAACGATAGTGAATTGTCACCTCACCCTCCACATAACGCCTCGGTGATTCTAGAATAGAGAGCGTTTGTTATTATGCCTCGATATCATTCGTTTCTTTTTAATTCGAGTACGTATTCTTTCGTTTAATGTTGTTAATCGGTTACTTATGCTTTCGATTATGTACTATACTCTATGTAGGAGAATATTAGGCACAAAGAATCGAAATTAAGGATTTATTGTATTTCAATGAACAGATTGTTCAGAACATTTATTTATCAATTGATTTTCTTAGTACTTTATTATTTGTCGAATTATTTGTTTGAAGATATTATTTATTTCAATTGTTGATTCAGCTCTTTTTATTTACAAAATCATATTAGGCTATTAGCATCACATATTAGGTGACTATAGAACGTGGAAAAAATATATTAAAAAATCATATATTTATAAATCCCCCATCTTTTTACGTGTTGTTTAATTTTTATTACAAATAAATGATATATATCATTTATATATATCATAGTTTTTGCAAGAATTAAAACTAGTTTCACTGAAATTGATTTTTATCATTAATTTTTAACTTAATGGTTATAGAAATTTCTGGTTAGATGATGACGGTTAGCTATTGAAAAGAAGATTTACAAATATTTTATATAGTAATTGTTTTAGAAGTGATAGATTAGAGAACTTTAAATTCACAATCACTGAATCCTTCGAAATGTAAAATTGATTTTTTCCTGTACATACCTATCCGACAATTTGGAAAACTGAGTTATAATTCTAACTTAATAATACAATTCTGACTTTTTTTTTAAATTACCATTTTTTTTTAATTATGATTACTGTATTATCTTTAAATACTACTGAGTTTATCGTTTATATAATGAAAGTTAAATTTCCCTAAATGTATACATATGTATGTTTAGTGTCAAGTTTTAAATAATCTCTAATGTTCAATATTATGCAACGGATTCGAATCAAATTCTTCGAAATCTAGACAAAAAATGACAATCATTACATTTAATGGCATTACATGGAATGTGTTAAGAAATGTGACAAAATAGATATCATCCAAATCTAAAGTGTCCGTTGTTATCATGCTCGAAATCAATCAAATGGAATATTAAGCCAACGATATCATTCTCCCTTGACTAATATTAAATTGAAACATACGCCGTCGCTAATGAAATGTCTACTTCGTGTATTGGTATACATATATCATAAGGACATATGGAATTAACGCGTAAATTATGACCATTAACCTGTTATATGTGACAGTATACATACATATATCCTTTATGTACACGTATGACATTCTAGTCATTAATAGCCATTAATAATATATTGTATATGCATATTGTGAATATATGTATATATATATATATATATCATGTATATAGTAAGTATTGTAAAGTTATGGTCAAAGAAGTATCAATTATCTTGCTAATAATTTAATCACTTTAATTACTTTTATATTTTAAAATACATTATATTTTATTATTACGTAGTACAAGTATTTTATATCCATTACGTGGAACAAAAGGAAGTAGTAGATTATTATGAGAAATCAAGGTATAGAGAATGCATTTCTTGCTAAATAATTTTTATTTGTCATACCATGAAATGATTTTAATAACTAAAAGAATTATAGAAATAAGATAAAGTAAGTCCGCTTTTTACTTTTTATAATTTCATGTATGCACTCTATTGTATAAACAAAAACGTGATTTGATGCAAGAAAGAGCTAATGGAAAATTATAAAACGACTTCGAATAATCTGACACAATTACGATAAATTGAAAAAGGAGAAAAAGAGAGATATCAAAAAATAAAAAAAAAATGTATAAAAATATATAAATATATTCATGAAAACAATTAAAAAAAAGAAAATCTAAAAATAGAAAAAAAAATTATTGATCGGGAGGAATTTGAAGTAGTTGTGATGAAGTAGTTCACGATTCTAACCTTTAAAACCACAGCTGTTGCGATATGATTACATTATCTTATATTTCTAAATATCAATGAATTAAATATAAAAATATCTTCACAAATAATGAGTATTGACAAAAACGGCTTATTTTTTACTTCAGACTTGTTAGAAAAAATTTTATCAAAATCGATGACCCAACGATTTTGACTTTTCCTTGTTCGTATTAGGTGCTTTAAACTCTAGACGATAAGGAAGATGAATTTGAAAATTAATTCATGTAATAAAGTTTCGTTTGACTATATCATTATAATATTGTTATTTCTAAAAGCATTATTCATATTGCCATTAATCATATTGTGTACTATACAAATGTAAATTACAAACATTAATAGTCGTAATTAAAATTAAAAATTGAAAAACTGAAAATTTGATTTCTTTTTAGCCTCGTCTTCACCTCTAGGAACCCAACTTTTTGAGTCAATTTTTATACATATTTGAAGTACTTATTGAATAGAGTTCTAATAAACCATTCAATGTGTTTTGAATTATGTCTATAATTATGCGTTCGTAGCAGCATGTGCGCTAGTATAGTTGCTTGTAGTATAAGCTAGTATAAGCAGTTCACGGCAGCCGAATAAAATGACACCTGACCCAAATCTATGTAAACTATATAGTTTACATACGTCGAAATTTGCAATGTTTTTTGTATAATGATTTTTACGCGGGAAGATTCCTAAACTCAAAATTGGTGTAGTCGTACTCTATATTCAATAAGTACTTCAAGTACGTATAAAATTCGACTTAAAAAATTGGGTTTCCAGATTGGCGAAGACCGAAAAATTCCAACCTTTTTTTAAAAGTAAGGACCGTGAATGATGCTTAAATAATTAAAATATATTGATGTACAGATAGATTAACATTCTACTAACGATATGCAGATAGGCGTCTCTTCTTTCGTGGCGTTGCGTTACGAAATATAAGAATTAAAAATTTTAGTGAGAAATAATCATACGTAATTTTACAGTTATTAAGCCATTATAGCATAGACAAATTTTATACGTTTCAATTTATTGGCAATTTTTTTATTTAGTTAGAGATAAATTAATCAGAAAGGAATTCAGTAGAAATTGGTCGATTTTGAACCTTGTTACCAACGAAAATTTCCTTTATGTCCTTATACCTTTTCAGGATTATAAAGTATATAATTATTTACCCAGCGCGCGGTGGGGGAGGTTGTGAAACATTGCTATCTGTAATACTCACCTAATTATTTAGGTATATAAGTATTTTGAAATTTCTCTCTTCGGGTGATCAAGTTCTTCATAGGTTGATGTTAAGTATTTTTAGAACAAAGACCCATGCTTAATGCGTTCAGTCTATAGTACCATTATACTGCTTGTATGAACTCTTTAATGCAACAATGCTGAAGTTTTGACAAGATTCTTCGTTTAAGTTCAAGCGACATCATCTAGAAGAAACTTATCACGTTGTGTTCTAAAAACTAAAGTGGGAAAACGAACGAAATGAATGCTATTTTATGATAAATACTAGACTGAAATCCACGCTAAGTACTTATACTTGTAAGCGAGTAGACAAACCCGTAACTCAATCCTTCAATTTAATATACTTGATTATCATGATATAGTGCACAATTAAAATCACAATAACAACTTCACAAAGTTATTGGACATCTTTCTATATTTAAAAACTCAAATGTAGAAACAATTTTATTTTTTTGACAAAGATTAAAATATTGCTCCATACAGCGAACATAATGATAATGGTCTTTATTCCCACACAACGATAATTCTATAATTTTTCAAATATATTTGACATAAACATATGAAGAACTTACCCGCTATAATTTGATATGATTACGATTGTAATAATTATTTTGTATGTTACTATTCGAAGAATAGGGAAATGTTGAAATACGAAACATTACATTAACTGGGTGAATATTTACATTACAACTCTCGCCATTACCATAATTACCATTACAGATACATTATGTATTTATCTATATGTATGTAGTCTTTTAACTTCACTTCCTATATACTATTTCGCTTGTATCAGATGTTATCATATATTACAGAATTTATTAAATCAAAACGACGCTAGTTTTCTAACTTTCCCACCGCGTGCCTCCTGGATATATTATGTACATTACAATATATGTATATATTGGAATAATCCTTTATATTAGAATAACTATCGTATTTTTGTATAAAATATGTTATTCTTTAATATTAGTAATGTAATAGTTTCATTTGCATATATTATGTTAATAGTAGGGTATTTTCGCTTAAATTAGTCATCATTGAAGTACGTGCAATGATTTTAATCTTTTAAAGTTTATTTTCAACTTGTATAAATTCATGAATTCAACGAAGAATTATTTTTCTTAAAATTCGTATAATTAAAAATTCTGATTCTAGCTAGATATTAGACTTCAATCCTCTATTACTTATGTTTGAGATCCTAGGACGAAAGGATCACAGAATGTCCGAGGCCCTGGGCTCGAAAGAACGTAGGAGCAAAGATTATTTTTCACCAGAAAGATTATTTGCCAGTAAAATGAAAGATTAACAAGGATCATTGTGTCAGTACGAAAAAACTGTGAGATTTATTTGAAATGGAGTGTCATTTGAAAATGACAACGTGAGTCCGTGCTCGCCATCCATATGCAGATGCAGATTAGTTCTAAGAAATATTAACTAGAAGATAATCCTAGTTAGATAATCCTAGATTTAATCGATAGGCTTAAGATGCTTTTCTGTTTTTATCCCTAGTTTTTTTGGCTCACAACGGTGTGATAGATTTATCCATTCAATAAAATAATAACTATTGTGACCCTACCTCTGAGTATATAAATAGCAACACTGTATATAAACTGACGTGTTTGGTATGAATACCAAACGTTACCACACACGGTGCAACCCGTAAGGGCCTGCACGAGAATTCCGCGGTTCTTACATAACAAGCAATAAACCTTTATGAAGCGTCCTGACTCGATCAATACATACTGCAGGAATAGAAAATTAAACAGAAGGACAAGCTTTTAAGTTTCTGACCGTTACAGGCAAGTGCCAACGAATAGCAACAGCATAAGTGTTCAATGGCTTCATAAAGTAAGAAT